TTGATATTCGATTTCCTTTAAAAAACATTTTTTGTTAAAGCTGAACGCCCTATAAACATAAAAAAAGAACTTTCTGATTTTTCATTCCAGAAGCTATAGTTGATGATTCTTTATTTGAACTCAATTAGTCATATACATTTATTTATTTATTTCTCAATATTCATTGTAACCAGCGACCTATCTTTTTCGATTGGCCAAAAATATACATGACTCATTGTTGATTGTTTGATTAGAGTAATGTTCTTGTGAATCATTTTTTAGGTTTATTAATATATTACCGGAATAACTTAGGTTACTTTTTTTTTATTCAGATAGACAAACAAAATTAAAAATCAACAACGATGTCGAATCCAAGTCAGTTTTTGTCTGTACCACCTAAAAAAGCTTATGATGTAACTTTATCAACACCTATTAAAAACTTTATTAAAGCAACTTTTGGTGATAAAGAAGATTATTCAGCATCAATTGATGGACTTAATGCATTACGAGCTGAAGCATTACTTCGTAGTAATTATAGAGATGATTGTTCAAAATTACTTCGGTAATAAGACTAAATAAGAAACTAACAACTAAATTTTACTTTTTTTGTTTTTTTTTTGTGTTTGCATTTAGATATTATGATCAATTACATGCAATTGAATATAAATTACCAATAACAGAAAATCAAATACGTATTTATTTTAAATGGCAAGATGCATTAGTTAGTGGTGGTGGTTTATTTGGTGGTAAACAAAAAACAAATGGTTCATGGAAATTAGCATATGAAAAAGCTTGTGTACTTTTTAATATTGGTCATGCCTATAGTGAATTAGCATTAGCACAAAATTTATCTATGGATGAACAAATGAAAGCAGCATTAAGATATTTTCAATTATCATCTGGAGTTTTTTCATTTTTAAAAGATTATGTCAGTGCTAATTCATTATCAGATTTATCTGTAGATTTTGAACCAGCTGTTTTAGCAAGTATTTCTTGGTTAATGTTAGGTCAAGCAGCTGAACTTATTCATTTAAAATCATCTAGTTTTAAAGGTAAATTAAACTTATTTAATATTAAACTATGTAAAAGTCTTTTGTTTAGATGAACTTGCAGCTAAAGTTGCTGCACATGCAGCTGATTGTTATAAGGAAGCTTATACATCAGCAAAAACTGAAAGTGCTAAAAAGATAATACCGGATGTAAGTGAATTATTTTATGTTATTCAAGCATCGTCGAGAGATTTTGTTTTCTAGAATTTCATCAATATTATGCATGTCAAACATTTATTATTTCAATCTAAAACTGAATATCATGCTGGTAAACAAGCTCAAGTTGATAAAAAATATGGTCTAGCACTTGTTCGATTTAATGTAAATGAAAATAAAGTTTTTTTCTTTTTAATATATTAATAATAATAATTTAGCGTGCAAAAGAATATGCTGATCAAGCTGTAACTAAATGTTCAATATCTGCATTTACACCAGCACTTCGTGCTAATCAAGATGAAGTAGCAAAATCAGCTGAGGCAGCACGTAAAGATAATGATTTTGTATATCATGAACGTTTACCAGATTCAAGATCACTTGAAACAATTTTGGCTCAACCTATTGCTAAACCATTTCCGGTTACATTTCCCATAACACCGGATTTTCGAGGTAATTATTCATAATATATATATATATATATATTAATATTATTATCATTTTAATATTTAGATTTATTTGCTTCACTTGTTCCAATTGCATTAAATAATGCATTGGCATCATTTAGTTCGAAACGTGCAGAAATCATGAATATTGAAATAAATCGTTTACGTGAAGCAACCAATGTTTTGAATGCGTAAATATAATAAATAAAAGTTTTGATGTTTGTATTTCAATTTGTTCTCATATTTAGATATTTGGCTTCACTTAATTTACCAGCTGCAATTGAAGATCGTGGTGGTCGTGAAATTCCACCATCGGTTATTGAAAAAGCTAATGAAATAAAACGTCAAGGTGGTATTAATACATTAGAAAAAATGATTAATGAGTTACCAACATCATTAAATCGTAATAAAGAAATTCTCGATGAAGTATAATTTAGTTTTTTTTTTTTTTTTTGATCATAACATTTCTTTGTTTTCTATTGTAGACAATTCGTATGTTAGATGATGAAGAACGAGGTGATACAGAATTACGTAATCAATTTAAAGAACGTTGGACACGTACTACATCATCAACATTAACAGCTCCATTACGTTCAGAAGCTAAAAAATATATGGATATTATACAAAATGCTATTCATGCTGATAAAATTGTGCAAGAAAAATATCGAATGAATCGAGATGCTATTGCTTTACTTAGTAAACAAACGGTAAATGATCTCATATGTGTTTCTTGAGTTATAATAATAAGATCATATTATAAACTCTAAAAGTCTGTTTTAATGAGTAGTAGATAAAGTTCTTTACCCTAGAGGGCTGAATTTTTTTATGTACATTTGTATTTCAACTACCCATGAAACGAATACAGTAGTAATTTGATGAATGAACCTCGAACTCTTGGAAAAGTCACTTCTACAGTTGAACATTAGTGTGTACAAGTTTTATAAGAAAGTTGTGTACTGATGGGAAATAGTCAAATTGAGGGCAAAAGAATCCCGAGATCGGAACCAGGATCAACACTTTTTCATTGCAAGTGATATCTTTTATGATTGTGTATATTGTCTCGAATGCATTGACGATTGAAACTGAAAACTATTGGTTTGACTCATAAGTAGATACAAACGGCATAGCTATGATCATTATGTTGATGAAGTGGAGAATTCAGAAACATCCATCGATACTAAAATTCGAGCAAATAAACTCATCTTTTGAATGAATGCAATGAAAACCTCACACGATCTGCATGTATTTAGGACACACTTGGGTTTTTGAGGAGTCGAAGCCTTGCTTACATATTCAATAAAAGTTAGAAAACTATTTGTATTTTTTTCTTAGCATGAAATCGCTAATGAACTTCCTTCAGCATCTGCTGCTGGTGCTTTACGTGATGCATATAGTGTACGTGAGTTACATCGTTTAATGGATACTGTAGCTTCAGTAAAAGCTGAACGTGAAGTAATTGAATCAGAATTAAAAAATACAGATTCTGATGGTGTTCGTGCTCGTTTAATTGCTGCTTTTCAACAAGGAAATCATAATGATGAAAATAGTGTTGTTGTTAATGAAATCGAAGCAATCTATGCATCATTACGACAACAAGTTAATGAAAGTGTTTCAAAACAAGAACAACTCGTTGAAAATATTCGTCGTGCAAATCAACAATTTCAAAGTGAAAAACAAGGCAATGCATCATCTGAAATGCGTGAAGAAATGTTAAAAAATTTAGCACGAGCATATGATGCTTTTCAAGAATTATTAAGTAATTTAAAAGAAGGAACAAAGGTTAGTTAAATTTTATTTTATTCAACAATTTATGTCAAGATTGTTTAAAAAGTTCCAAGACTGATTTAATTTTAACAAAAAAGTAGATGAGTTATAATTATAAATGTTTGATCTCTTTATAAACCTGAAATAAAACACTCTCATATCCTTTGATTGAATCCTGTTGAAATCCTTAGTACAGGATTTCGATAGAAGGTTGGGGGATGTTGGACTCTCTTCTGTTCGCTTTTCTCTCGTACAATTAACATCTTCAAGGATTGTTTCATCCGTTGAAGTAATTGATCGGCTCATCCTATAGTCATAATTGATATTTAATTGTCCTTTATTGCGGAACGATGTTAGAACTTTTGATTTAGCATTAGTTTATCGAAGTAGATTCGAAAAATATTATTATCATAATGTATAACTGTTTGATAGAGAACTAAAAGTAAATATGAACACAGAATGTGAATATCTCATAATCTAGATCCATTATAAAGCAGCTTCCTGATTGTTCAGTACTCACGATTGATGAACCAGTTCTTCTGCAACTATCTATATATATCTTCTTATTTTGTCAATTTTTCTTTTTAGTTTTATCATGATCTTACACCATTATTACTTAAATTTCAAAATAAAGTATCCGATTTTGTATTTGCACGTAAAACAGAAAAAGAAGATTTAATGAAAGATATTCAACGAGGAATTGTTGGTAATGCTCCACAATCAACTGGTATGTACATCAATTAGTTATTTGAATACACGATAGTTTTTCTTTCGCCTATTGTATTTTGTAGCAACACCAGCATATCAACCAACAGCTGCTTCGCAATATCCACCGAGCGCTACTCCACAATATCCACCAAGTAATGCTCCACCATATCCACAACCAGCAGCACCATCAGCTGGTGGTCAAGTACCACCAACAGTACCTGGTATGATTGATATGAAGAGAAATGATTTTGTTTTAAATAAGTTTCTTTTAAGATGGTTCGGCATTGCCTTATCCAGCTGCATATATGCAACCATTCTTTCCAATGCCACCTGGCTATAATCCATATAATCCATTTTTTAATATGAGTAAGTTAATGAATTAGAATTTCATTGAAAATGTTATTTTTTTTGTTTAGTGGCTCCTCCTTATCCAATGGGTGGTACTCCACAGTATCCACAACAAGGTAAGAAAATACTTTATTAAAGAATAGATTTCTTTTAACATTGATATATTTAGGTTATGGTGTTAATAAACCACAACCTGGTGGTAGCCAAAAGAGACCATAAACTTTCTTATTTTGTACACTCGAATAAATATTTTTTTCTTCCCCTTTTTGTTTTTCTTCGATACACATCTCCGGTGTCTTTATGGAGACAACCAAAACAAAAGAAAAAACAATCTATTCTACTTTCTTCCCTTCTATTCTGCTTACGATTCTTGGTTTGTACTACTATCATTTTTGACATTCATTTTCTTTTTTTTTTTGTTATGATTATTCTTTTACTTAACTCATTCTTATTTCATGATTGACTATTTGAAACAAAAAAACAAACATTGATGATAAATTAAATGAATGTATGTTATGAAAAGATTTTTGAAATCAATATAAAAATATTTTATTTATTGTTCATCAAAATGTGGTCGATGGTGACCTGGATGATGTAAATGAATATGACCATTTGGTCTAGCTGAAGGTGGTGTTGATTGTAAACCACCAGAATTAGAATAAGGTGAATTATAAAAACCTCGACCAATTATTTGATTATTAAATACTCCTGGTTGAAAACCATTGTTCATTGGAGAATAAGGTTGTTGAAAACCTCTTCCATAACCTATACCAGAATATGTTGGATAACCATAAGATGGTCTATAAACAACTGGTGTGTGTATACCATGATTATAATATGGATAATTGAAACCCATATTGTCATTTGGATAAGGATAATTTGGACGTGGATACGTTCCACCATTACCCATATTTTCTTTTTTCGTCAAAGATAATAAATTAGAAAAAATAGTGATAATAAATAAATAACTTGCACCTAGGTTACAAATTTATTTATATAAAAATTTCGACAATCTTTACATATTATTCTCAAATTGATGATACAATTCGATCACAAAATAAAAGTATTCGAGCATGATCTATTTCGCAACATTGACTAAAAACCGATCAAGAATAATCATATTTTATATATTTTTGAACTTTTTATCTTTTTTAAATTACTCAAGTTTATTTAATCTCAACATTTCATTATGTAATAATCAATAAATAGTTGTTAAATATGAAAATATCACTTATCTCAATTCAATTCGAATGTAATAATGATTTTTGACACATAAAATATAATCCAAGTGACAAAGATTAGTTATACATCTGGAATGTGTCATAATTAATGTGTTGTAAAGTGCAATGCATGTCAAATTACTGACGACATTTATAAGTGCGAATGATCATTTTTACGGACAAAAACTAATGATCATCATAAATATTTTATTACAATGCATTGTAATAACGAGCGATTCAAACCATTAATAGACACTGTCAATGAAATACGCAGAGCAACGGACGAAACAATATCGACATTGATTGAATTCATTCAAACCTCTGGATTATATAGTATGTTCTAATTGTGCTAAATAAAAGTCATATTCTGTAGATTTTGACCTTTTTCTTAGTTTTGGTCTTGCCTCTACTTCCAAAAACTGTCACGTCTATGTACCCTTATTATTTATGAAACTTGGAGCCGTCATGGTTGAAGAGGGAACTTCTTCGGCTGGCTTCTTCCAATTTCGATGATTTTTCGCCTATGAATACAACATAATATTTTCTAGAGGCTCTCGACTTTCAAAAAAAAACTCGTCTCTACACATTTCGGTCTAAGTCTTTGTGTACACAGAAAATTCAACACGACTAATCCTATGAAAAAATTTAAACAAAGTCGCATTGAGATATAAGACTGCCAAGATGGACTCTTTTCTAAAGATAGCGTATACATGTGCATTTCTTTTTATGGAAATTAGTCTAGTTCATAGGGCAAAAGACGGACTCGACGCTCTATGCTGTCTAGAAGTACAGTTATTGATAGGTGTAAGAGAAATAATGGATTATTGACTCTGCGGTCAGGTAGCACAAGGTAGTTGAAAGGTAAGTGTATTCTTTCTATAGATCCGAATCATTAGCACAGGATGACATCTGTACTATTTTACTAATAAACTTCTTAAAGTATGTTCGATCATTTTTAATCTCTACTATTTCAATCATTATTAAATTAATGATTTATATTCTAATATCATAATTGAATATTCTTCCAATAGAATGAAAAAAATTAGCTCCATCTATAATCTACCTTTATTTTTTCATATTCAATTAAACCTGTTAAAAAAAACATTTCTAATATGTTTAATATAATCATTGAAAAATAAAAATACATTTAATGTAATTTATTCAAAATTTTTTTAGTAATAATAAGAGCACTTAAAAAGCTACATGTACAAAAGAGAATATAGAAGAAAGAATGTATGTACAAAATGATATATATTTTTTTGTTCAATATATATATCGATTGAGAGAAGACGAAGAAGAAGAACAACAACAAGAGGAAAGAAAAAAGAGAATATTTGTTCATTCGTCCATTGACTTAAACATCGGTCAACATTTTTCTTTTTTTTCATATTCATTGTTATATCAACATAATGCTATTCTTATATTTCATATCAATATTTAATTTAATTAATTCTTTATTAACTGAACAATGTCCATCATCAAATTTTTGTAAATGTTCATCAGATTTAACAATAATAACATGTATAAATCGTCAAATAACAGATGAAAAATTAATTAATCTTAATAATCAATTTCCAAAATCAACAATAATATTAAATCTTTCATTAAATTCATTAACATCAATTAATTTTTTAACAAATTTAAATAATCTTCAAACACTTGATTTATCATATAATAAAATTCATAATTTACCATCAAATTTATTTACAAAATTTTCACAATTATCATCATTATATATATCAAATAATTTAATAAAAACAATACCAAAAACATATAATGAAATATCAAATATAAATTTAGATATATCAAATAATCCATTAAATTGTACATGTTCATTAAAATGGTTAATTAAATGGTTTGAAACAATAAATCTTTTAAATAAAATTAATTGTCAAAAATTAAAACAATTAAATGAAAATGATTTTTGTTTAAATAAAAAAAATTTTCTTTCTATTACACCTGAACAATCACAAATTGTTTATCAAAATGATTCATTTATATTAAATTGTTCATCAAATACAAATATATATTGGACATTAAATAATAAATTTTATTCAAATAATTCAACAATATTTATATCATATTTACAATTAAATCATTCTGGTTTATGGACATGTCATAGTTTAAATTTAAATCGTTCAATATCATTACATGTATTAAATATTCAAGCAAATCATTTTTGTCAATCAATACAAATGGATACATCAAAAGGACATTTTTATTGGCCACGTACATTAACTGGTCAAATAATACAATTAAAATGTCCATTTGGTTCAGCAGCATGGTTAATTAATTCATATGATGATGCTAAAGCATATTATACATGTTCATTTAATCGACAATGGATTGATTTAGATTTATCACAATGTGCATTTCGTACAAATATATCAAGAGAATTTGATCGTTTATTATTAAAAAATTCAACAAATTTATTAAATAAATTATTAATATATATATCAAAAATTGATTTAAAAGAATTTCAATTTGATGATATTATTTTTTTAATTGATTTAATTGATGAAGAACAAGATAAATATATATATATGAATAAAAATATTGAAGAAATTTCAATGTTAATTTATCGTTTAACGGATTTTATTTTACAAATTAATCAAGATTTTATTCATATTAATGAATATAAATTAGCTTTAAATAGATTAAAATTTATATTAGAAAATTTATTAAATTTAACTAATTATTCATGGGTTTATATTGGTCAACAATTAACAGCTATGACTTTAGAATCACCATTACCACCAACAATATGTTTTGTACCAAATCGATCTCAATTAACAATTATATGTGGAATTATTAATCGACAATATAAACGTCATGAGGTTTTATTTGAGAAGAAAACAACAAAAAAAAAACTCCATAATAAAACATGATTTTCTTTTTTATTTTCTAGTCTCGATTAGCAACAATTCAATTTCCATTAAAATCAAATATAAGTATGAATCAATCATCAGTATTTAGAATAATATTTTATCGAAAATCAACATTATTTACATCGGATACTACAACAAATAATAATCCTGTTATTTATATGCAACCATGTAAGAATAGATCTGATTTACAGTCACACTAAAGAATCACATAGATTTGCATACGAAGAAATCATTCAAAGTGATATCTCACTTTTGAAATATGATCCCAATCATTGTGTAAGATCTGTTGAGATTAAAAGCATTCGAAACAGTATTTTATTCAAGTTTTTTTCTCTCCGGAGGGGCGATTTGAAATTCCGGGAGGGCGCTGCCCCCCGAGCACTCCTCTGTATAAAACACTGATTCTAAATCATGTGTTGTCCCATTATGAGTAATGACTATTACAATCATATTTAACGAAAAGGATGAAAAGTCTTATTTTTTTTTATCGGTGTCATGGTTATAATTCCAAAGGATTCTTCTAGTCCTGTGTAATGCCTCTGGTATAATTTCAAACACAAGGTAATCACCTTGGGTGACTGTTTCATTAGTAAAAATTAGACAATCAGTGTTACATAATGAATGAGTGTCGATTGTTCTTCAATCGTTGTACATATAGAATTACTCGACATTCTTTCTGTTCTTCAATTTCACCTATTGTCAATATATCGGCTCGGCGTCTTTGTTCTGTTCATTTAAGGACATTTGTTTTTCATATATATCTTGTAATAAAAAAAGATCATTCATTCATTCATTTCATTTTTATTTGGTTAAAAAAGTACATCTTTATCTAACTAATTATGACATTGGAGATATGCAAAAATAAAGTCTAATGATGACTCTACTAAGAAATAGAAAAATTAAGTTTCGACTTGAGACAAATCTTAACGGGAAAGTTTTTTTTTTTTTTCGATGAGAACATTGCAGTTCTTGTTCGCTGTTTCTATTCTAAAATACAACTATACGTAATAGCCTGTCTTTTAATGTTCTTATTTCGAGAAAGAAGAGAATTAAAAAACTTGTAACAAGCCGAAATTCGAAAATCAAACACTGATAAGATTTTATCTTTTACAATGAGATGATTTAAATCATGTTTTTGTTTTATTCTAAACAAGAAGTGTTTTCCATTGATTAATCAAGGATTAGTTAAATAGTATTCTATGTAGAATGTCTTATTTTTGAAGATGTTTGAAAATTGTTTAATAAATTATATCTTAAGTTAATTAGTAGAAATGTTAATATTTCAATTGAAAATTCGATAATTTCATTTTTTATTACATGACTTGATCTATCGAATGTTTATTTTTTACTTTATAAATTTCTTATATTTAGTGACATCAGATAATGTTTCAACTGTAACAGTAACATTTTATGGTCAATCAAATCAAGCATCAATAGGAATATGGAATTTAAATGAAACATCTTGGCAAATGAAATCATCTATTTGTCAAATTAATCGACAAGTACAAGAGAAAATTTTCTTTTTGTTTTTATATGTAAAAAAAAAATCTTATCTTTGTATTTTAGAATATTGATTCAATATCAACAGATTGTATTTTAACAAAAAATACATCTTTATCAATAACATATCTAAATAATTTTAATGAAAATCCAAGTTTATTTTTAAATACAAATTATTTAGATTTAGCTATTTATTTTTCATCAATAATTGGATCAGCTTGTTTTTTTATTTGTATACTTTTTTATATTTGTTGTCATAAGTATGTGCTTTTTTTTCTCTTTTTAAAAAACAAAAATTCGAATTTTTATCTTATTTGTTTTTTTTATTCATTTAGAGTTTATTTAATGCCAAGAAGTTTTTTTCATTGTTTAATTAATTATTGGCTTAGTCTAGCAATTTTATTACCATTATTTGCTTTTGGTATAAGACAAAGTCAATATTTATTTTTATGTCAATTTATTGCTATTACTCTTCATTATCTTTGTTTAACAACAATACTTTGGTTAACAATATTAGCATAGTATGTGATTCTCGTTTTTTTGTAATATAAAAAAATGAGTTTTTGTTTTTTTAGTTGTATTTGGCAAAAACTTTATGTTATATGGACAGGTAAAGGTCATAATGATGATTCAAATGAAAATCCAAATGGAAAATCTTCAGTAACTATTGTTGATTATGATGATGATGGATTACCAATAATGAAATTAAAAGCTAAACCTATTATACAATTCTACTTTCTTGCATATGGAATATCATTTATTATTTGTGGAATTAATGTTGCTATATCACGAGATCAATATATTACAAATAAAATGTAAATAAGAAGAATTCATCAGAGTTTATTTCAGTAAACTATAGAAAAAATGCGATTATAAACTTTAAATATTTTCTCTCTATTTCATCTATCAAAATGGTAACTCTCTGTAGTAGAACCTGATAATGCATATACTATCAGATAGTGGAAGTCTTGTTGTAGGTATATTTCAAATTGAGATGAAGATTGATGTTTACAGACTTGACATTGGTACAGAACTCATCAGCTTTTGTTTCAGTACTTTTAAGAGTACTGAAACTGTTATATTTTTGCTGGTTTTATCGACCTTTATATAAATCTATAGTCCTCATTGAAATTCCAACTCTCAGTTATTAACCTGTCATTTTTTATCATAGAATGAGTGGTTTCACAGTAGATTGAATGCATTGATAATTGTGAAGCAAAGTCATTCACGAATTCAGAACGTAAGTTCTATCTATACTAGGTATGTTCCGTCTGAAAATGTGATGCTCACTTTTGGAATGCTTGTCAGAAACTCTTGATGAACAGCAGACTACAGATCATTTTCTAATTGCAAAAAGAACATAAAAATTCCTTGTTCAGAAGTCTCAGTTAACTTAATTTACGTCTTAGTAGACAAACAAAAAAAAAATGAAGTCTATTTCAAAATTGAAGATCGTACTCATTTAGTTTTCCTATCCGCATTTATATCATTTCTTGAAAGGTATTGTATAAAATGTTTTCATTACAGACTCTAATCGTTCTTGACGAACTAAATACGTGATGTTAGTACTAGGTATCTTTTTGTCAATTACATAGGAATCTACTATTTTCCATTCATCGTTAGATTTACTCTTTAAATTTAAAACCGTAACTTATTATGATTTTTATAATTTTAGTTGTTTTTTAAATAATTTCGAATCATTGTTAACATTATTTATTCCATTAGCAATATTTATTTTTCTATTACTTATATTTCTATTATCTGCTCGTATTAATATAAAACGTTTAACAAAAGAAGCAATACGTTTACGTAATTTACCAGATGAATCTGAAATAGAACCTGAAACAAATATAGAAACAAATGAAAATAATTTATCATCAAAACCTAATGAAATTTTACCAATTATAATTCCGTCCAATAATGAAAATCAAAATGAAACAATACCACATATTGATTGTCGTCAATCACATTTAGATAGTTTATGTTCATCTGATATGGATCATCAACATCCACCATCTAATCAATTAATATCAATATTAATTCAATTAGTTCTTTTACTTTTTATATTTCTATCAAGTTTATCTATTTATATACATCCATTACATTCATTTAATATACGTTTAGAACATTCAATTTATAATCATTTATATGGACTTTTTGTTTTACTTTTGGCAGTTTATATACTTGCATATTATGTTTTAACACGTTCAGATTTAACAATGCATTGTCAATATAATAATTGTTTTAGACAACGAAAGAAAAAACGTTTATTAAATCAATCTTATAATGAACCACCACCACCACCTCAAACACCTCAACAATCTCCATCATCACCATCACATCCATTAATATCATCATCAAATGAAAATAATCAAGATAAAATTTTATTAAATGAAAATTTAACTGGTGATGAATCATTTACTGAACAAATACCTTCACCATCACCACCACATTCACATTATTCATCAAGTATATATCAATGTCAAATACCACAAAATAATGAAATAACAACAATAAATAATGGTTTTGGATATGGTTCAAAACGTCAAACAAATATTGCATCAAAATATTATGCACGTCATAGACATATGCTTAAAACAAGTATATCAACTAGTGAAACAAGTTTACAACAAAATGAATCATTACCTTATTCAACATTAAATACTATTCAACAAGAGTAAGTATCATATCTAAATAAATATGGTTGTAAACCTATCAATGGATTTTTCTTTAAGAATTATTCTGTTTTCAAAAGACTACTGCCTCAAATGTTATTAATACTTTGACACACAAGCTGAAAGTCTTTTTCATTAGATTTCGAGAAGTTTATCGAAAGATATTTAGCCAACTCTACTACCGTCGATCACTGCATCGGTGTATACGTCTACAAAGAGACTTACTTTTTGATTTTTGATGTTGTGATAAATCTTAATCAACTTGATTCTTGAGCAAAAATAAGACTTTAACTTGAAGAAGATATGAATAAGTTATTCTTAACATGAGAACGATTTTTTTTGTACCTCTGTTTTTCTTAATAAGGTAACAATATCCAAACTTGTACTAATGAGTTAGCCTCGTTTCATGTTAATTAAGATTTTCTAATTCATACCAAACAGAAGATGTCTTTCAGACAAATACTCACACGATTTATGAAATATTCAAAATTTCTTCATTATTTTCCTTTAGATTAACAATACCTGTTAGTAGTCAACAAGTAGAACATAATTCACCGTATGATTCATTACCTAGAAAATCCATTAATAGTCAAAAAGAATCGAATATAATACAAAATGGCAATGCACGAGTAAGTCTTTAAAAAAAAAACATTACCCTAAATCATTCGAATATTTCATTTCATATAGTTTCATTTGCCTTCTGTTGCTTCGCCTCGTCCATTTATTCGTCCATCAACTTTACCAATTTCACCTCGACCACAAGCATCACCATCTCAGGCAATTATTCGTCCATTACCTATCACACGTCTTTCTTCACCAAGTACAAATAAAATTTTCTCAAGTCCAACTACAATAAATTCTTCATCAACAATAATATCAAATGGTCGTATAAGTCCAATGATTGATTTAAATACTGGAAGAAATTCATATCGTGTTATGCCATCACCATCAACTGAAGAACGTCATGCAACATATGTTTATTTAAATAAAAATTCTAATTTAATTCAACAAGATAATTCTTCAAAAGAAAAAATATCTATTTGGAAAAAACCAAGTAATGGTCATCATTCACATGTTGCATATATTGATGAAGATGATGAAGGTAGTGTATCACTTAAATCATCAACATGTGATTCAACAACAGCAACATCATCAAGTACAGCATCACCTGTTTTATCAAGAAAAGATCGTTCAGAAACATTATCATCTTCATCATCATCATCGTCATCATCATCAACTTTTTCAAATGATTTTCCTAATGGTATTCTCGATACAAATCAAATCATACTACATGAAAGTAGTGTATAAATAAAAACATTTCGTTTTCTGTTTTTCTTTTTCTTTTTCATATTAGTATTATTATTCACGACTTTTTTTTTTGACTCATGCGTCTTCTGTTCGTTTTTTTTTAGTCAGTAGTATTATGTATCTGTCAGATATTCCTTGAGAAAAAGCTAATGATCTCACATATCTCCGGCCGTTGTTGGAAAACGAAAATAATCTGATGAAATAATCTTTTCATATGATTCTGTTTTGTTTTTTGTTCGCTTAAATAGATCACGCTGAATGAATTGGAAAAATAAAATTCATTGAATTTGTTTTTTTGTTAAATAATTTCTTTATCTTTTTTGTTTTCTTTCGGATAATATAAAGAATTAAATACAGTATGTCATTATGTTTATCTCTATGTCGACAACAAATTATTCGATATCGTTTGAATAATTATTCTAATCTACGATCAATTATTATACATCGACGAAAATTTTCATCTCATTTGAGTGATTCGAATGTTGTAAGTAGCAAAACGATGTTTTTGAAAATTAAACATTGAGAAATGATATCAATAATTTATAAGAGTTTTCCGATATGGCAAAAAAAAGAGTGCGCTTGGTAAATGGAGAGTTATGAATAGTTTTTTTCGTTATTCACATGAGCTTGTGGTAAGAATTAGTATTCTATAACTCGGTCAGGTATTAAGCACTTGGTCCGACCCGTCGCATTTTTCCGGATATTAAAAAAAAAAGATGCCACAACAAAATTCAACCATCATAGGTTTATATTAATTAGTGACGCAACTAGACGAGGACTCGAGAAAACTAACCCTCTTCTCTTACTAAGGATTGAGCTCGACTTAAAAGACATGGTCAGAAGTTTTAGTCCCCACAGGGTGCAATCCAGTTAGACATTAATAGATATTCTAAATTTATATATATATATCTTTTGCTAGCGACTATCTAAGAAGTCTTTTATTTGTATGGATGGTTTTTGAAAAAAAAATTCGCAGCACGAATCCAGCAGATTTTCCAAAAAGTCTTAGTTTTTCCGAGAAACTATATATGGTACAAGAGATTTTCTAACCGAAAAGTCTTCTCAGTAATATACGATCACTTCTGCGAAAAAGAGAAGCATTTCCGAGAAGGAGAATCATACAATATGGCTCCTCGCCCTTATCTAGACCTTTTTTATGATTAGATAACTAGTTCATACGTAATTCTACGATACGAAATAAACGAAAAGTAGATTTTTATTTGGATGATAACTATTTGAGCCATTACAATGGAAGAGCGGACTTATGAAAATAGTTATTGTTTTCATTCAATTAAAATTTTAAATTAAAAACAATATTTTTCTCTTCTCTCTAAAGAATCCCAATCTTCCATTACTCGATCGTAGTCATCATGAACTTGTTAAACGCATTAAAAATCTTTTAATTCATGTTCAAACTGATTTAACACTTTTATCTGCTCCAGATAAGAAACTTCTTAATGAAGCTCAAACAAATATTGATTCAATATTTTTACTTGTTGTCGTTGGAGAATTCAATTCTGGTAAATCACAGTTTATAAATACATTACTTGGTGAAAAAGAAGAAATATGTCCAACTGGTGTTTTACCTACAACAGATGTCATTCAAATACTTAAATATGGACCAAAACGTCAAGATGTTATTGAATCTGATCATATTAAATCAATATATTTGCCAAATGAATGGTTAAGACAAACAAATATTGTTGATACTCCTGGTACAAATGCTGTTCTTCAAACACATCAACAAATTACAGGTATTTATCAAATAATATAATAGAATAGAAATCAAGCAGTGGAACGATAAAATTCTTTGAAAAGTCCTTTAAGAAGTTGAACCTTTCTTCAATATGTTCAATGATAAAAGTAAAAAAAACCTAACGCTAACGTGAGAACGTCCTCAGATATCCTCTTTTAATTTCAATGACTTTTTGCCTAGACATACTACAAAGAAGTCTGAAACTCTTCATATCGACATCTCTGACAAATAGACATTCTCTTGAAGCCTTTCCTAAAATGCTATATAGTATCTAGAGAGGACGTCTGAGAATGTTCTCTCATAAGATTAGTTGAACAGATAGCATATCTGATTTAGAACATTTTATACCAAGATCGGATTATGTTCTATTTGTAACAAGTGTTGATCGACCATTTTCTGAAAGTGAAGTATGTTGTTTATTTTAAGAGTATCTTTTTTTATAATAGAAAGTATCCATTTGTTTAGCGTTTATTTCTTGTACGTATTCATGAATGGAGAAAAAAAGTGTTAATTATTTTAAATAAAATTGATCAAATTCAACAAGATGCCGATAAAGAAAAAATTCTAAACTATGTACGTACTAATGCTCGTCAAGTACTTGATGATATATCTGTTCCAATATTTTCAATAAGTTCATTGAAATCTACTGGTATAAAAGAATTAGAAGATTATTTACGTACAGAATTAAATGATAAAATAAAACTTAAAATAAAACTTGAAAATCCACTTGGTATAGCCGAACGAATATTTGATAAATATTTAGCAATTGTTCATGAAAGAAAACAAATTCTTGTTGATGATGAACAAGTAAAATGAATTATTAAAGAAAAAGAATTTTTTCTTTATTACGAATTTTTATTCTAGGTACTTTTTGTTTTGCATAGTGATGTTGATGAATATCGTCGACAGATGTTAGATGATTTTAAACTTCAATTAAATAAAATTGATAATATTTTTTTTCGTATGATTGATAATATGGAAGAATTTTTACTTGAATATATTCAACTTTCACGTCTTATCCCAACATTATTTAGTACAAGTAGTTCATCAGAATTAAAAGTTCAATTTAATAATCGTGTTAATAAAAATATTGAAGAAGATATTAATCACTGTATAAGTCATCTATGTGATTGGCTTGTTGAAAGATCAAATCGAACTGTTCATCAACTTAATAAACATCTTAATACAAATTCAATTCATTCACGAAGACAACAACAAATTATTAAACATACGAGCAATAGTATGACATCAGGAGTTGATGCAGATTTTTCAATATCTCGTCAACAAATACTCAATCAATTACAAACGCAATGTCAAAATGTAAATGAATAATTATCTGTACTTGTTCTCATAATTGTAAAAAGCTTTTTTTCTAACAGATTCTCTATAAACAAAAAACAGCAACTGGTGCACAAGCAGATGAACTTTCCGCATCAGTTCGCTCGACAATGTTAGGAACAGCAGCTATTGAAGTCGGAGCAGTTGGACTTGGTTTGATCGTTTTCTTTTTCAATCATACTTCACTTGTTTGCATATCTCTTTTAATTTTAGGAGCTTTAGCCACATTGGCATCATTTGATTGGACTGGTCTTTTAGGTGCTGGTTTAATTGGTATATTTGGTTTGTATTTAATACCAATGCGTCGTTTAACTATAAAACAAGAAATGAAAGATCGCATTGATAAAACACATATGGATTTAACTGAACAATTACAAAAACATTTTTTACATGAATTGGATAATCATGAACGGAAAATGCGCGAATTAATTATGCCATATACGTGAGTTATTGAAGATCCTTCTTTTTGTTTAAATATTATATATTACCTGATATTCTAGCCGATTTGTACAAGACGAAGAAGAAAAATTAAAGAAAACTACAGAACAAATTGAAACAGTTCGTAAACAGATCAAACAATTAAAACTGGATATTCAAACATCATTATTACAAAAAGAAAAGACAGAATAAAACAGCTGCTTTTCTTTTACACTTGTGAAATATATTTTTTTTTGTGTGCGTGCATTACAAAAATAAATTTATAACTCAGAGTTTATTATTCAAATAGTTTTAGGTATGAGTCTCTTTTCATTCAATTAATTCATTCTATTTATTGGTTTTTGAATTCCAACTTCGTACCTATATCTATGCACAACTGTTAAGAAATTATCTTACAGTCTAAATACATTTTGCTGGGTACCCTTTAATGTTTTTTCATTGATTATTCATTTGATAAGTAATAAAAATAAATATCATCAATCAATCGACCATTTTTGATAGTATTTGAAATAAAACTGATATTTGAATGCTGCATAATTATTGTACTATCTCTTGACTCTGTAGAGAATTCTTTGCAGATGTATCGTTACAACAACAGTAATGAGTGAATGATGTACAAAGGAAAACTAAAGATTTCGTACTCTAAAGATTTACTAGATTCTGATAAATTCATCATTTGATTAAACTTATATTTAAGTTGTGCTAAGACAATTTATATCACGAATAAAAGTCCGGTTTTTTTATTTTTTTTCTTGCGTATGTTTCATTGAAAACAGATTATCTACTACACAATAAAAATAAAAAATATTTATTCCGATCGTTAATGATTATATGTTTCCTATAAATCAACTTCTGAAAGCTTTCTTTGTCGTAAAAGATTTACATTAAAGGAACGTAATGATTGTTCCTCATGTTATTATTTTTTTTTCATCTACAGAAAATTTCAAATAAAATATATCTTTATTGTAATTGAACATGCACTGGAATGCATTTTTTTTTCAAGTTATTTTATTCTGTGTATTAGCGACATCTTCTATTCATAAAAAATTTAATTATCGATAAACCTATTTATTAAAAAATAAAAATAATTCTATAAATCTAGAATATATTTTAGTAGAAAATCTATATTTATCTATCATCTATTAATTAATTGGCTATCTTCAGACAGACAATGACCTCTGTTGTATTGTTCGACCAGCAGTGACGTTTACGCCAGGGTGCCACCTATCCCAATTGAATTAGTGGCTCCACACTCTTTATTTTCATATACTCATACGAATTCGAAAATAAACAAATATAAATAAAAAAATAAATTTCTAACATTTCAATAATGACAAGTCGAATTCGTCGTTCAACACGATCAAGATCAAGTTTAAATGTTAAATTTGCTGATGATCCCGATTATGATGAACATACATTTGAAGACGATCAGGGCGACGATGATGATGACGACGACATCGACGAACTGCCGGTGGCGCGTATTAAACAAGAGCAACAGCGACACACTAGTCAAAATAATACCAATAGCGGTATTGTTAAAAGACGTCGTGGACGACCTTCAAAACGTGAAACAATACATGATGATGATGTTGAATGGCATACTGAACATGAAGAAGATTTTTCAACTGTTACACCAGTTGATGTTACTTTAAGTCCATCAGGTCCCGATGTAAATGCATCAGTTTATGAATTTAGTGAAGCATCAAATCGTAAAAAACTTCCAACAGTTGATTCATTTGGAAATAATATTTCGCGAGACTCAACAAAAACTTCAATTAAAATTCGTCGAGATGAAAAACATTTGTGTCCTTACTGGTAAATTTAATTTAAAAGTTGTTTTCTTTATAAATAAAATTTTATTATCATTTTTTTCTAGTAATTATTGTACGGGCAAAAAATATCTTCTTCAACGTCATCTGAAATCTCATTCAACAGAACGACCACATAAATGTAAATAATTAAAAAAAACAAACAAATTGTTTATTTTTTTCTTTTTTTGAATTTTTCTAGGTGCTTATTGCTCGAATACATTTAAAACAACAGCACAATTACAAAATCATGTTAATACTCATCTTGGTATTAAACCATTTCAAGTAAATATATTTTTTATTGATTGATATTGTTTAGCACAAATAAATTCTTTTTTTATTAGTGTAAATTTTGTGAATATAAATTTACTACAAGTGGAGAATTAATTCGTCATGTACGTTATAAGTAAGTATTGATTATTAAATGATTAATTATATTTCTGGAAAATGTAAGGTCTTATTTTTGAAATAAAAAATTTGAGTTAGATTTTTAAATAGAAATATTGAACTTATAGGAATCTTAAAATGTAATCTTCATGTTAATACTTTTTTAAACTTAATAAATCGCATTCTGGAATATTCAAGAGAATTTTAAGTAAGAAAAAAACAGCTATAATCTATAATCACGTGGTTTCCGATGCACATGAAAACTCACTGACATATATAAATACAAGTTTACAAAAAGAGTCATACAAATTTGTTTCTATTGTTTTATAATCGTAAAAAATTGATGATTTTTCATTTAAAGACATACACTCGAAAAACCGCATAAATGCGAAGAATGTGGTTATGCAACAGTTGAATTAAGTAAACTTCGACGTCATATTCGAACACACACAGGAGTATGTATTTACAAATTTTTGTTTTACTTAATTTATTAAATGTTTTTTTTTCTTCTGTAGGAAAAGCCATATTCATGTCCGCATTGTTCATATTGTAGTCCGGATACATTTAAACTTAAACGACATTTACGTGTTCATACCGGTAAAAAAAATTCCTTTTTTTTTTTCTATTATTTGTCTTTTTATTTAAGGTGAAAGACCATATCAATGTACGGTAAGTTACTTTGTTATTTCTTTTGAAAATATAATACAATAAAAATTTAAATAAATACTAGGTATGTAAATTCCGTTTTACACAAAGTAACAGTTTAAAAGCCCATATGTTAACACATGAAACAAATGCACAAAAATTTCATTGTACATATTGTCCAACAGTTTTAACACGTAAAGCTGATCTTAAACAACATATGTTAAAAAAACATGCTAATGATGAAGATTTTGTAACATGTCTTAAATGTGATCAAGAATTTGCTGATCCGTATGAAATTTTATAATACTTTTTTTTGTTTAAAATAATATTTTTTCTTTTTTTTTTGTGTAGACATGAATTAAATCAACATAAAAAAATTCATCATGGAATGAATACCAATAATAATCCTAATAATAATTTTAATACACCACGTATTCAACTTAGTTGTTCATTGTGTACATATAAAACATTTTCACAAGATATACTTGATGATCATATGGATTCACAACATCGAGGTTTGTTGAAGTTTTCATTATGAAATGAATCTAAATATTGATTTGACTGATACTATATAAGACAAAATTATATTATAACTCATCATATTTTCAAAACATTTTAAAGAATGCATGATAGAAATATTTCATTTCAAGCGAAATTTTGATAAAAACCAACAGAATACTTAATGATTATAAGTTTCATAATAATCATAGGTTAAGTGTTACTGATATTACAAAATTCTGTTGCTTAAAATAATGCTCGGCATATGCTATGAAATAATCTTAAATTGTAGAGTGACTATTGTGAGATGCAAATTCCAGAAATCATTCTATTTGATTGAAATATTCTGTTAACCGAGAGTTTAAAAGAATTTATCCGGAAATGATTGCTAAAATATCTTCTTGTGTTGCATTCAGTTTTTTCTCTATTTATTTCTTAAAATTTTAGACGAACGAACTTTTCAATGTAATGAATGTGGTTTAATGTATGCAACTCGTGGTGATCTTCGTCAACATGTAACAAAAGTTCATCGTTGTGGTATATATGCAAAAATGCCTGCTGGTGGTTTATCAATTCGTCAACGACCATATTCATCATCATTAAAAAATTCTCAACGTTCATCAAATTTATCAACATCACCAATAAAACAACAAATGCGAAGACGTGAAACAGTTTATCGTTGTTCAATATGTCGAAATAAATTTACACATATACGTGCTATTGAACGTCATCATTATGATATACATCATATTGATCCATTTGATACTGAAGCTATGAAAAATGCAACTATTATTGATGAAGAAGATGTTGAAGATGATTATGAACAACAACAACAACAATTAATTGATATTAATCAAGTTCAACAAGAAATCAATCATCGTGATGAAGATGAACAAATGGCTATTATACAATTTCGTAATCAAAATCAAAATATTGATCATTCACCATTAATAGTTAAAATTGAAAGAGGTTTATTTGAATATTTTGTATGAATTTGTAGAAAAAAACAAAATTTGGTCTTGTTTTGTTTAGATGGTTATGATGATTTTGAAACAGCTGATGATTATATATCAAATAAGCCTACACCACGTGCTCGTCAATTACAAAAGAATCGTCGAAGATCATCAAAAAGTTCTTATGATGATTCATCATATATGGATTCATCAATAAATAAAAAAGAATATTTACATAATTCAAATTATGATATAAAACAACAATATGATGATGATATGTATTATGAAAATGAAGCTGAAACAGCTGATACATTTGTTGAAATGATTGATGATGAAGATAATATTATGGATGAGAATGATTTTAATATTATTAAATATCGTTCATCATCTCAAAAATTGACTTGATCATTTTTCATCAATGTTTAATTTTTCTTCTTTTTTTTATATATGTATATATATATATGCGATATTCTTTTTGTGAAAGAATACGCAATTCTTCTTTCTTTCTGTAGTTTGTTTATGTTGTAGTAAAAAAGAGCTCGTCTTGTTTGTATATGAACTTAGTTTCGACGTTGATTAATAAACAAGAAAAAAAAACAATAACAAATGATTTTTCATCATTCAAAAGTATCCAATAATATTGACTTTTAAATATATTTCACATTGAACTGATAGCAGATGTATTCTCACCCATAGATTAACGAAAGCGATGATTTCATTCTTTGAATATGTTAATCACCAAGAAAAATAAACGACATACGCTTAGAGTTCCTGTCAAACACTATTTTTTCCATTCGTTGAATTAATAGAATTCAGAAGCGCATCAAAACATTTGCACAAACTCAATATTTTCTTAGTCTAAAAGACTTCACAAATGTATTTCAGGAAATATTGTGTTTCG